ATTATAGGATGTATTTCATTTTATGACTATAATAGGTATCTGGTAATAAATACCCATAGATCAATATATTCAGGATAAAGGGAGACTAATAAAGTGAAAGTGCTCCATATCCTGCAATACTTTATTTTAAATCTTCGCAAAGTACACATTTATTCATACAGCAGGCCTAATTTTTTATTTTAGAGTCGGATATGAGCGATAAATAATATATTGTATGCTTAGTTTCGAAGCGTCTGTATATTTAAAGTAGGCAAGACATAGTTAAACATATTAAGTGTCATCTATCTTTTTTCCGAAAGTATGTGATGCCATTTCTTTAGCTGACGCATCCATTACTCTTAGAGTAATTCTAAAAATAAATACTCAAAATATACTCTTTACAATGGGCTCATCAACAAAGGTTTTGAATAATATAATCTTAAAATAGATTTATATAAAACATTGTGATTAAACTCCTTATCCAGTATATAGAAGATATTGAAATCACAAAGCAAAATAATAAAAGACTACACTAAATAAAATTTAATACTATCTGAGCATAGAAAATGCTCCAAAAATAATTAACTTTGTATTTATACATACCTTTTGAAGAATTAGCAAACGCCTTTGATATTTTCTCTAAAATATATGTTTACATGACATTTAAATCTAAGCAGTTACTAAAAGAAAAGAATAAAGTAGTGAAAATATACACAAAAAATCCGTGTAATTATAATATGAGAATAATTATTGTGCAGAATTATCGTTACAAGTAGACTATTTTTCTGACAGATTAATAGTATTTTACTGTTCCATTTGAAAATAACACTCAATATTGAGACAATATGTAACTCAGGCACATAGAGGCTAGCATTTTCCAGGAGCGACCACCTGTCTCGGCAATTAATTCGATTAAGAAGTTATTAATGTGACTTAAAGAAACGAAGGTCTTTACGATATCATACTAGACTCCTCCGATGACTCAAAATTTGCAAATCATTTTTGCCTAGTTTCTAGTAGCTTATGTACTTAAAACTCCTTGCCTTAGATTCATTAATTATAAGGATAAATAAGTGAGCCTTGGTTTGAGGTAGAACAAACTCACAACTAGAGTGAGCTTACCGTTCAGAAAATTCTTAGTCCTTAATAAATATGCAGTGTAAAGTCAAAAACACAATGAGTAATAATCACAAACATTAGAATAGTTTAAAGATTCTGTTTTGTTTCCAGTCCTGCTAAGCCATTAGTCATTAGTTATTAGTGTATTAGACGCTTATTTAGAGCTTTTATTAAGATGTTGAAATTCCACGATATATATATTTAGCAAAATTATTGTACAGGGTTTATCGCAGCTGATTTAAAGGATTTTGTGTACAGATTGGGGGTCTAGCAAATTATAGGATTAATTTGTACATGATAAACTAAGAACCAAGTCTTCGGTCAAAACAATGTGAAACACCTTCTTTCGTTTATAGATTCACCTTGCCAAATTTGCAATTCTTTATAATAATAATAATACTAAGAAGAAGAAGAATTGCTTAATGTAGTTTCTCCCTTCTTAAATTCTATAGGGTATATTTAAATATTTACTAATTAAGTTTGATGGCATACACTTACGCTTTTAGAGGCTTATAATAATCCGCCATACTTTTAATATAAAATTACCTTATATCATATCCATAAGCTCTACCACTTCTGACCTCTATACTCCCATGTAATGTCAAAATTTGCTGTATTTAGAGAGGCTCTCTCGAATTAAGTCATTCTTACACTAATAGGTACAAAAAGAGTTGTCAAAAATCAAGCCCAACCTAAATATCATAGCTACATGTAATGCAATAATTACTCCTTCTAACAGATCGCCCTAGGTTTTTTGGCTTATTCATTCAATAGAATGACTAAAACAGTTAGTACAGATCTTTGCTTTAGATTAGTTCGCAAATTTGTTTTAAAACTGTTTGAGAGGTCAAAAATGGTAAAATTAGGTGACCTAGTTCAAAATTTCAGGAAATATGCAACATTTATCCTTTATTCTAAGGTACAAATATTTTCCTCTTGAGTTATTTGCTAGATGAAGATGCTTATTTTATAAATGGCTAAAAGTTTAAAAAAAAAATCAGAATCAAATTGTATGACTCTATTGAAGAAAAGCAATGTAACACAAAATATCTAGATGTGTATAGTATGGTGAAACTATAAATAATACAGGAAATAATTTCGAAAGTTCAAAACTAATTCGTTTTTGCTATTGGCAGCTTTCGTACTATCAGTAGTTACTTGGTAATCATCTTAAGCAGCTAGTGTAAAAATAGTGTTATTTAAAAATAATTTTAATTGTTTCCGATGTTTCTCATAAATTAGAACTATGCTTTCAAGCAGTAATTTATGGAAGTAAGAAATAAGCCTAGTTGTCAATTTTCTTGATAATAAAGTTTCCTGGAACATTCATCATACTAGATAAATGAGCATTCGATATATACTTTCCTAAATATCAACATAAAAAGCAGGCTTCAATTTGGCAAAAGCCTTAACTGCTTTAAATAACTGCTTACTTTCTTATGAAAATTCAACAAACTGAGATGTCTGATTATAAGCTTAGTATCGATCCTATCAGGATATTAATCTAATGTGACAATATTTGGCGCATGCCAAGTTTACAAAATACATTTCTGAAGTTAAGCTTTCTGCCTGACAATTTATTTAATCACCACAATACATTCCCTTAAACAGTGTAAAGAAAGATCTGTTTCACAAACGTATGAATATGAATTTTATTTATGAATTCTCTGAAACCACTTAATTTAAAGAATTAACCTATGAAACAAAAAAGAGAGAACTATTATGGAAGAAAAATTTTGAAACGAATACAATTTGTCTAGTTATATGAGTATATCTCATTTAAATTAAGTAGTTAAAAATGATTATATTATATTAAGTTAAACGATTTTATTTTTATAATACATTACATAAACCTTCTCTCAAGCTCACCGGCCAATTTGAGCAGTGTCTCTTCTGCAAAGAAATTAATGTTTTACGATAAATTAAGTTAACAATAAAGAATCTTTTAATATTTATTGTATCTCGAGACTTGGCTAAATACGATAAACAAATTAAAGTACAGTAAATAGTGAGATATTTAATGAAGTGTAATGGGCTTCTACTAAATTGGTTCATATTATGAACTAATTCTATATACGAAGAGAAACTAGGTTTCGATGAATCTCTTAAGATAACATTGTTAGGAGGACTATCATTTCGTATGAAAGTGCATGAGGAAAAGATTCGTTTGTCGATCTTTTTAGATGAGGACGGATGAATCTCGTTGTACTGCAGCCGTTTGGCTTTTATACGATATTAATGCTGACGCAGTCCACGAGAATTCCTCCCTCGTTTCACGTGAAAACATGAAGAGCTTTCGTCCATCATATAATGGGAATTGTTGTAAAAGTGTCACGTTAACACTAGGGCAAGAAGACTATTTGGATCTATCTTACTTCTTATATAGACTCAATGGAGCAAAAGGAAAATTAAAAACCTAGATAGATTGATATAGAGTGGTTTGGCCAATTATCTATTATACTGATCCTGGCTAGATGACA